TGTATCATTCTCAATGGGATGGTTACTCGGTTCCATGTGCTATCTGCTTTGGCTTTGAATACTTGGACTTCAGTGTGATTTTGCATTCTGGATTTCTGTGCTTCGTCCATACTTATGTTCCTTGCAATTTGGTATCGGAGCTGGTTTGATCGCCACTTACCTTTGGCACGCTGGCGTTATACAGACTTGGTGCGTTGATGATGCTTCTTCGCAGTGGGTACTTGTGACGTCAGGCCACTATTGGTGCACGCCCTGGGTAGAGAGGGGTGCACCGGAAGGCTACAGACGACATATTGGCCGTGGTGACAGGCGGAATGTTTGATTGATGATGAGAGCATGCTGATGTGGCAATGGACTAAGGTGGCACTGCATTGCGTTGTGGGTGGTACCGAGGTCATGACTGGTCATCAAATGCAACATCAGCTCAATTGGTGAGAAATCTGTGGTTGGGGGCAGCTATCTCCAGGTACGTTGTTCCCTTACCTTATCTACTCTCTCAATCTCTTCTTACCGTGAGGAAGTGAGTCCAACTCGAGAGTCCTCTCTTTTGGTGAGGTGTMGTGAGCGCGCTMCCTTGAGAGACGACAATCTTCCCGGAAGCATACTGGAAGGAGAAAGGGCGGTGCCTCTGAAGGGCCCTGGTCGAAGCACGTGGGTCACGGTCACCATGCCAACCCACAGGGAGTAGTACACGCATGCGATGACTGCTGTCTTGTTTGGCACTTGCTGCGCTGATAGAAGTTCCTCCGGGCGTCCCAGCCCATGACAGACGCTTACCAGACTGTCTATAAACATTTCTGGTTGGGAGTTCATTGTGATTCTGGCTGTGATCGTCGTCTTGACTGCGACGTTAAATAATTCCTGAAGAGATGGGGGCGCTCTATAAATTCCTCCTGATCAGCCAGATCACATGGACAGGAAGGCTCGTCGCCGTGCGAGGGTAAATAAGAATGGTTGGGCTGGCTTGCTCGGTGACAACTTGGGCACAGGGGTGGGCCGACATGCACACGAAGACACTGCCTGGTCAATGAAGCTGTTCGGATGGTTGGATTGAGGGGAAGGGTAGGTTCCAATTGGTGCTCAACTGTAAACACAACAATACCCATCAATCATACATCGGCTACATTGTCTTTTTGTACTTTGATTAGTTGGTTGACGGACTGCTAACCTCACAGACAGATTAGTTTAGGACTGTTGTATGCTACCATAGCCAGTTCTAACTAACGCTGCTGTAAGTGAACCATTCAGGGTGCATCTAGACAATGTAGACAATCTGTGTGAATGTTGTAGACATGCCACTTGATTCGGTATAGTAGCATACTCGCCGGACACAACTATTGTTAGAAAATTAGGTGCCGGTCAGATACATGCTGTGGTAGGATTCCACTAGGGGATTCTAGTGCAGAAACTATCTACCTAACTAATGAGTGGGTCAGATCCTCGGTCAGATACATGCTGTGGTAGGATTCCACTAGGGGATTCTAGTGCAGAAACTATCTGCCTAACTAATGAGTGGATCAGAACCTGTTGATGATAGAGCAGACACTAGAAGACTAACACGTGCATAGGCACTAAGGGTACCGCACGTGTTCAGGACCTTGGACGAGGAAGAATTAAGACAACTTCGCGCCGAACGCAGAGCCCGTGCTCTCGCAGCATCGAGAGCAACAGCAAACGCCGCAGCTAGGGAACAGGCTGCCGCAGCAGCTAGGGCAGCAGCCATGACTAGCTCAGCAGCATCCTCTGCGGCTTTCTCAGGGACTAATGGGATGAGTGTGGGAATGCCAACTAGTTCCACGAGTTCCTCGGGCACTTCCGGGTCTACAGGTTCTAGAGGATCTTTTAGTCAAATGGCAGGCTCGCAGTTCAGCCCCATGACCGCACGAGAGCGGGAGCTCAGAGAGATCCAACAGGTCGAGAGTCTCCGCCAACAGTTGGAGGAGGATCTGAAGAAAGCAACCGATAGAGAAAAAGAGATAAAAAGTAGAGCAGCCAGACTTGATACGTTAGAGGCTGACAAGGCTGCGTTAGAGGGATTGGACGAATCAAGTTTATCTGACCCCCTGAAAGTGTTGAGGGACAACATGTTGTCACTGCATGCGCATGTGGACAGCAGGATGGACTTCATGCAAAGCACTTTGGACCAGATCCTGGATGCATTGACAAAGCCAGGATTCCGGCCACCAGCACAATCGCCATTGCCGTTAACGGCGATRTCAGGCCCCTTTGCCGTACAAGCTGGCACACAGCCAAGTGGTACGTCTGCAGCAGCAACACAGACTGTTGCATCTTCTTCTTCGGGTCTAGTGGTGATTGCTACATCACCACAACAACCTGTTCAACAATCTGGACAGCAACAAGGTCAATGGTACCTCAAGACCCCAATGAAACCGCCTCTTGCCTTCTCAGGCGAGAGAAAGGACGAGGAACTCAACACATGGTTGAGGACGGTCCCGGTTTGGGTGAAGGCCAAAAGGACCTTGCCAGAGGATGAGGTGGTAACTGCGGCATCTTACCTAGAGGGTAAAGCAACCAAATGGTTAGATGGGGTAGTTGTGAAAGCCGAGTACGGGCGACGCATGGCAGATTGGGCTAAGTCTTTGACTCTAGACCAATTCATGGAGATGGTAGAAGCTCGATGGCATAACCCACAGGAGGCTCAAAGGGCCACTGATGCCATTAAACAAACTTGACCAACGCAAGTTCAGGTCAGTTAGGGAGCTTACGACTACCGTCGAGAACCTGATCCTCGTCACAGGCATCAACTACAGTGACCACTTCCTCTTGACCACGTTTGTTAGATGTCTACCTGAGAACATGAGGAACTTACTAGCCAGTGAGGCACGCACGGAGTACCACTCATTTGAGACATTGTCTAGGAAAGCCTTAAACTTAGAGGCCACGCTAGGCAATGCTCAACCCACCTCAGGGAATGACTCAAAGAAGAAGAAGAGTCCTTAGGAGTGGAAGAAGAAGGGGGCAAAGTTGATGATGGTTGAGTCTGATGGGTCTCAAACAGAGATCGATGAGCTCTCTGACCTAATGGACTACTCAGAGTATGACGGCGAGGAGGTAGCTGAGGGTAGCACCCTTGCCGCGGTAGTAAAGACTAAGGCAGGTGGCCGAGGGGAGGGCCAACCTAGGAGTCAAGGGAAGGCCGCCTCCAATCAGTCCAAACAGGTTGAGTGGGTCAAGGTAGGTCTTGACCAGGACGTGTGGCGTGACCGCCGATCGCGTGGCGCTTGTATCAACTGCGGTGAATACGGACACACGCAGTGGAAGTGCTCGAACGCTCAGGTTACACAAAAGGTTGCACCAAAGGTTGGGGCAACTATTTCCCACGCTTCTAGCTCGGGAAACGCGTAGGGCCAGTGGAAGTGATAGCGGCTTCTACTCAAGATGAAGTGGGAATGATACCCTCCTCACTTCATGACAAGGCCGAAGCTAATGACTCCTTAGCTACCCCGCAGACGCATCTAGACCAAACTATGCTCTGTACGTTAGATGTGTCTGAGGCCTTAGAAGACTTAGAAGGCGAGTGGTCAAACAAGGACC